TGGTGTAGTCTAGGTAGCTGTGGGAGTCGGTGGGCTTGAAATAGATGTCGGCTTCTAGGCGGTCATCAGAGATGGAGACAGGAATAGAAACAAAGTTGCTGGAAAAGCTCAGTAGGTCTGGTAGCATCTGTGTAGAAAAAAATCAGAGTTAACGTTTCTGGTCCGGTTTTGTCACTGGACCCAAAACGTTAACTGTGATTTTTTTTTTCTTCACAGATGCTGCCAGACCTGTTGAACTTTTCCAGCAACTTTGTTTCTGTTCCTGATTTACAACATCCACAGTTCTTTCGTTTTTTATGGAGACAGAGGTCTAGGAGAATTTGAGTTTGGGGTGAAAGGTGTTAGTAAAGTTGATGAACTGTTCAAGCTTCTTGTGGGAGCATGAGGAAGTGCCAGTACAGTCAGCGATGTAGCAGCGGAAGAGGTGGGGGATAGTGCCAGTGTGGCAGCAGAAAAGTGACTGTTCCACGTATCCTGTAGGAAGTGGGAGGAGTTAAAGGAGAAGTTATTAAGGGTAAGGACGAGTTCAGATGAGGGTGTTGGTGGAGGGGGACTGGTTGGGCCTGCGGTAGAGGAAGTAGTGGAGGGCTTTTAGGCCATCTGTATGGGGGTAACAAGTGTAGTTCTCCTATAATATGATAGTTGCATTTTTGTGCGACCTCCCGCTATAGAAAATTGCCACACTGTACAGTAGAAAATTCATGTTATACAAACAGTGTCCACTAATCATCATTTGCATTAATGAACCACGTATTATAGCAGAAATACCTGTACTTGTTTAGTTTGTCCCCCATCTCCTGCGGTTCCACACATCAGCAGCCTTGTTGATCTTTAAGGGGCCCTATTCTCTCCCTTGTTACTCTTTTGACCTTGGTGTATTCGCAGAATCCCTTTGGATTCTCCTTAACCTTATTTGCCAAAACTATCTCATGTCCTTTTTTGCCCTGAAGTTATTTGCTATCAGATCCAATTACTGCCATACACTTGTTTGCCAGAGCTGCTTACCGTTGGAACATTCCTGGATACAAAGATAACACCAAGCCTTTTTGTCTTTCTCACCCCAATCCCCCATCCCACCTTCCCAAGCCCCTTCACCTGGAGTTCCAAGGATGAGGAGTTGATGGATTTCTTTGTTGTTAAGATTGAGACTAGATTGATCAACTGCCGCTGCTACTTCCCTCCTTTCCCCAGCTCACTGAACCAGACCTCCTCTAAGAAACTCCCGCATCCCTCACACCTGTCTTGAAATTGTATCTCTGTCAAAATTTCCCATCTCCTTTGTTCCCTTTTAGAAATCATAGTTTCCATGAGACTTGCCTGCTATTCTCTTGACCCTGTAGGACCCTACAAAACTACAGACTACCAAATTTCCCTTCCTGGCTCCAATGTCAGCCGATGTTACTCTCCTCAATGTCGTTACCCCCTCCCCCCACCCCCGACTTCAAATCTGCCATAATCACCTTGGTTCCTCAAAAAGTCAATCTCTGATCTTTCTCTGTTCCTGCAAACTATTGGCCTATCTCCAACTTCTTTTCCTTCTCTAATGTCCTTGACTGTGTTGTTTCCCAAATTTCATGCAAATCATTCCTGGACCTCCAAAGTTTGAGTCCTTTTTAATCATATTCGTGGCCCTGGTGCAGTACTGAAACACCTCTTACAGAATGTCACTTGTGACTCTGATGCAGATATGATTAAAGGTAGGCTATCTGTCCTCCTCCTTCTCGGCCAGTTTGCAGCTTTTGACATAGTTAATCACAACATCCTCATCCTTCTGCACCATCGTCCTGCAGTCGACTCTTGGAACTGTTGTTACCTGGTTCCAGTTTTAACTATTTAATTGTGGCCAGAGATTTGTCATCACTGGCTTTTCTTCCCTTGCTCAGTGGTGGTGTTTTTTCACTATGCACTCCGATAACGACATCGAGCATTACCTCATCAGCACTTCTTTGACATCTCTACAGTCTCTGACTTGTCTGGAAGAATTTTGTCAGGAATTTCCTTCGATTTTAAAAATTAGGTGGATGTGAAGGCCATGTCTTCGATTCTTGCCAAAAATTCTGCCATCAACTCCATTCCTTTTCCTGATAATTGCATGATAACTTTCCTTCCACCCTCCTTCCCCTTCCTTCTCTCACCCTTTCCCTTTATAGAATAGAATAGAGTGTACTTTTCTTGTCACATGTACTTACAATGTCTGCCTTCTTGTGGCGACTTCTTGGGTACAAGTACCTAGGTACGATTCTTGAATACAGCAGAGGATTAAAAGTAGTTGCATTACTTAGAGTGGGGAAAAAAAACGTATAAAAATAAGACATCATTAAAGGGTTGACATTGCAGTAAGGTAGGAAATTTCAAATTGACATTACAGTGGAGCAGCTCAGCGCAGGGCCTCTGACCACCTGCGCCAAACCCCAGTCCAACAGCTGTCCCTGCTCTCCTCCAAGTCCCAGTCTGCTCCGTACCGGCACTCAGCTGCTCCAAGGTAAGTGCCAGGACTGCCTCCCCTGTGCTGGTCTCTGTCTGGGACTTGCTGCCTGTACACTGCTCTGGGGCTGCTTCCCCACGTTCTGTACCAGGGCTTGCTGCTCTGGGGACTTGCTGCTGGTGCCTCCTGATGCTAAAGTATCGCCTCCGGTGCTAAGAGAAGAGGAGAAGAGAAGCATTAAAAAAGAGAGAAATAAAAGGCAAAAAACAGGTGGAATAGAAGAGCTCTGGCAGGAGCGTCCTACTCTACCACCTGAGAATACATCTTCTCACCCTCCCTCCACTTGCCTCTCATCTCTCATCCTCTCCTCTCTTTTTCATCTCTCTTTCCCTGCCCCATTGAAGGAGGTTTGATGAGTTGATTTGAATTGTAGAGGATTGATATTTATGAGCAGTAGATAGGAAGTAAAGCTAATGCCAACTTCAGATCAGTCATTATTTTATCGAATAGCAAACAGGCTTGTGAGGTCAGCTCTATCTACATCTCCACTGCTGCCAAGTTGTCAGACTGCTTAACCACTGTCCCTTACGAGATGAGCAGAAATTTCCTCCAATTAAATATTGGAAATACGTATTGGTGCCTGTTCTGAACTCTGTTTCTTGTTTACTTATTACATACCTCTCCCTGGAAACAGTCTGAGATTAAGCCAGTCTACTCACAAGCTTGATGTTACATTTGACCTCCTATTTCCACACAACTTTTGTTATCTCTAGACTTGAATATTCTTGTAGTTCTGATTGTTCTCCTGCATTGTATCCTGTTAAGACTTAAGGTAATCTCTAAAACTTCATTTTTTTTTCTGTCTTAGGTTGTGAAGCTGTGTGCTGGAATGATAGATGCTGGAAAGAACTTTTGTAATGCTAACAAGCAGTTTGTAAATGGAATTCGTGAGCTTGCCCATCAGTCCACCAAGGATGAAGTTATTGAGGTAAGACCCTGCTCTGAATAAATTGATATTAGATTAGTAGCTGAGTTTCTTTTGAAAAATAGTTGCAGGCTGATAGTTCAGTGACATAGGAGCTTGCAGAAGTATATAGATAGTAAACAGAAAAGAGCCTGGCAGATAGAACATAACGTGGGAAAATATGAAGTGATTCACTTTGGCAGGCAGCATAAAAGCGCAGAATTTCACTTAAAAGTGAGCAAATGTAGAATTCCAAAGTGCAGAGGGATTTAGGTGTTGTGGTTCCTGAGTCACAAACCGTTAGTCTGCAGGTAAAGCCAACGTTAAGAATGCTAATGAGATGTTATCCTTTGAGATGAATTGAGAATAAAAGCAAAGATGTAATGCCTTAGTTATACAGGACTTGTTGAGACCGCATTTTGAATGCTGTGTGCAGTTTTAGTCTCCTTACTTATGGAAGGCTGTAATTGCGTTATCATAAGTTTTATTGGGGGTAGATAGTGCAATTCGAAACACAACAGCCATGATCTTATTGAATGGCAGAGCAGGCACAAAGGGTTGAATTGTCTATTTCTGCTACTATTTTGTATGTTTGTATTTAAACTTCCTGCAAGATGGAAGCGGAGTAGGACTCCTGAGCCAAGCTCATCTGCTCCGACTACTTTTCTTTCTTTCTATCTTCAATTTTCTTTACTTATCTCCTTGAGCTCGATGGCATCAACGGTGGACCTTGAGTGGGTCCAGTGTGGACCTCAAGTGAACCCTTCCTTACTTTCCAGAGTTTTCCTTACTTTTGGGGTGAGCACAGGACTTGGCATCAGAATTGGTGGATGCTGCATTGGTGGAGGTGAAATCGGCAAGGTAGGCCCAGAGGCGAAAGGTGGTGCCTGAGGATTGGCACCATCATTGTTGGGTCTGATGATGAAGCAGTGGCAGATGGGCATGACATTGACATTGGCATTGAGGTGGTCCCAGCCCTGTGAGATACGACTCTGGTTTTGGTAGGTCTGGTGGAGGTGGCGGTGAAGTCACGGCAGAGGAGAATCGGCCTTGTGGCATGAGGTGGCACTTGAGGATTGGTGACTTAGCCATTGGTTGGGTCCACTGTGGATGGCAGTGAGGTGGTAGAGGATGGATGGCAGCGCTTGATGGTGATGAGCTGGCTCAGGACTTATGGACTCTCTCTTTTTTTTTTGTTATTTTTATTATTATTATTATTATTATTATTATTATTATTACTTTTATTATTTTATTATTATTATTAGAAATGGTGACATTGGAAAAGCTTTTCACTGTATTTTACAGTTTTCTCTATGTAAAATATGTGGCAATAAATCATTCAATTCAGCTTTTTTCTCTAATTTGAATTATAATTTAGACGTGTTTAGGCAATAATAGCACAATAAGTCTCCCATGTCCAACTCAATTGCATAGACCTTGCTTTTTTTTTTTTAGAAGCTACTTTTGAATGTAGCCAGACCGTTTTGAGCTATAACTTCTCTCCGGTTGACACTGTCATCTTTTGAAGTTTCCCCAACGATCAATCTTTGGCTGTCTCCTGTTCCTCTATCAACTTCTGCCTCTTCACAATATGTGCCAATACATTGTTGCCCTATTCTCCACCACCTCATTATTGCCTCCTCGTCTTTCTGCTGTCAAATTGCTGTGTGATATCCAGTCCCGGACAAGATAAAACTTGCTTCAAGCATTGTTTAGACTTGAGCCCTCATCTTTATCCTTCATGTAGTTCTTGCACAAAATTATATTGTGGTTGAGAAATGTTAGAAAATAGAAACTGTAAAAAGTTGCAGAGCAAGGGCTTTTGTCATGCTGAGTACATAATTTAATATTTCAAAAGCATACTGTCAAGTTGTTATGGTCACATTGGCATGAATGAGTCATTTGACTTACAGTAAATGTAAGTTCCTTGGGTTATTTTAAGAGTTTGATTCACCAGAAATGTTCTAGTGAGAGTATGACAAGTGCTGCTGCTGCTTGTTAGCAATGTGAAACAGCTGACTTCACCTACTGCTCAAACATGTTGCACTTCCAGACTAATTGAAGATAAATTGAGCACACTTAGCACTAAAAGTAATGGCGTCAAGGCCTTTTGTGAAAATTCACAATACATAGTGAGAAATAATCTGGGGTAGCTATTATCCCACAGAATGGTGTTGATGCACCCTATTTCAATATTGGGTTGTACAGACAGCAAACAACTTGGGGTAATATTTGAGGTTTCCCATTTAGCCAGTCTTTAAGGTGTTCACTAACGAGGTACTGTGGTCAAGCCAAAAAATGTATGCAAATGAGCGACGTGGTATAAGAGTTTTAGTGCCAGTGTGATGTCAGATATGTTAGACTGTATGTCCCAAAGACTGGCAGTCATATCAAACATATTGTCCCTCAGGCTGTTTGCAACAATGAAGGTTTTGACTGTACGTAAAGAGCCTGTGCATGCAAATTCAGACTGGGAATTTCAAATATAACATCTGATTAAGCAATTGGGCAACATTTGTTGGATAATTCTAAATTAGTGCCAGATTATGCTGGCACCCAATTCAGTTGGGCTCAGTGTTGTATGTTTTCATGCACTGGAAGTAACATATACAAATAGACAGGGTCCTGTTCTTTGTAGACAGAACATCTACTTACTCTGTGCATGTTTCAACTCAACAAAATAAGTGACTGCCATTTGTTGGTTCATTTTCTCAGGGCAGTGCCCTGACCATCAGAGTCATCACACCTGGCTTAAAATTTAACAAAGCTTGCCTGTGTTAATTGTCAATCAACATTAATCAATGTGTTCTCCATGGTAAGGCCCCTGTCAATCAAATTCCACTTGCCAGCCAATCCGCAGTCTTCTCTTGTGCAAGAAAAACTTGGTTTTTGTCTAGAATTTTATTTTTAATAAAATGTCCTTGAGTGCAGGAAGAAAAGCTTTGATGAAATGCCTTCTCTTTAGTACTACTTCAGTATGACAAGTATTGAATTTTGTTTGAATCTCACTAGAGTCAGTGGCAAGTATCCAGAGAGGTTTTACATCTATTGCCATTCTTTACTTCTGTCTGAGGATGAGCTGGACCATCCTTAATTCTACTTGATCCTAAGCCTTTGTCATTCCAGACTTGGCCAGGATATAGTTAGAACAGCCAACCTTCTATCTTCACCTTTTGTAAAATATAGCTCACCCAAAGTTGTCTCCTCTACTCTATCCGTCAGCAAGTCCCAATTCTCTGTTACCCCTGTTTTTACAGACTTACCTTGGCTACTGATCACCCAATTATTTTTTTCTTGTATTGAAGCCATCCCTTGGCTCTATCTCTAACCGATGACTGCTCTCTTTTCCCAGGCGACCTGGTCTCCTCTTGCTATTTGAGAGTTAGATTCTAAAGTTTCCTAATTCATCCTTTGGCTCAACTTTAATTTTTTTTTCCTCTTGCTATTTTGTGGGTTCTTTAGTGTGTTTAACTTTGAAAAAACATCTCGATTTAAATATACAATCAGTTACATTTTTTAGGTAATGAATTAAGAATTGCTTATATGAAAACTAGTCAAAATTGACATCCTTTTTGGTTTTATGTATGCTTTCAATAGAACAGTCTGGTGAGGTTTTCGGAGAGCCTTCAGGAGATGGTCAATTTCCACATGGTAAGTCAAAATTCTGGCACTGATCTTGTTGACGTGTCCTAATTGACATGCATTTGTGTCAGTTAAATAGAGGCTAAAAAATTGAATTGTCAGCAACAATTTTAGTATATTGAAATCAGCAGTGTAATGTTTCTTTCATTGTGGGATGGAATAGGGACAATTTTTAAATGTTTGTTTATGGGATGTGGATGTCTACTGGCTAGACTAGCATTTATTGCCCATCCCCATCTGCCCTTGAGACTGTGGTGGTGAGCTGCTTTCTTGGGTCACCTATGCCCAAAATGCTGGTAGGAAGAAAATTCCAGGATTTTAAACTTGTAAAATGAAGGAGCAACTGTATAGTTCCAAATCAGAGTGAGGTGTAGTTTGGAGGGAGACGTGTAGGTGGTCATGTTTTCAAGTATTTGCTGTCTTTCTCTTTCTGAAGGTGCTAAGAGTTCATAGCTTTGGAAGGTGCTGTTGAAAGAGCTATGGCAAGTTGGTGCTGTGCATCTTGCAAATCGTAAAGTCAGCAATGTGTATTAAGATGGTGAATAGGGTGCCAGTCAACTGAGTTGCTTTATCATGGATGGTGTGAAGTTTATTGAATGTTGTTGGAGCTGAATCCAATCAGTCAAATGAGGAGTATTTAATCATACTCTGACTTGGACCCTTTAATTTTGGGCAGGCTCTGAGGAGACAGGAGATGAATTACTTGCTGCAGTATTGATCCCCTTGAGCTGTTGAGGTGGATGTTGCTGAAAGATGTTGCCTGTATGCCAAAGTGTTGAAGTGCTGGCACAATACTTGAGATTGATTTTCTTACCCTATTGTGCTTGAAAAGCCAGTCAGGTGTTAATTACATCACTGAATTCCATGAAATTTCTGACTGATACCAGGTTTTACTGTTTATTGTTTTAAGGCCATTGATCATGATTGGACTTCGGTCTGCTGACACTTGCTAATGCTTTTATTTTTCTTCACACAATTTACAAGAGACAGCCATTTGATGTGTCTCATCTTTGACTTTTTTTGAGTTCATTGTTCCTGCATTTTTTTTGTTACTGGTGTAGACCAGCTATTTATTATGACAGGAATGGTATAATTGCCTACCACTTTCAGAAACCATCCCTCTGCAACAGGCAAACTATGCAGATTTCAATTTTGTTTTTCCTTTGGGATAGCTCAGTGGCATAGTTTCACAATGAAGGCAACTAGAAGCAATTCAATTGATGGCACATCGTTGGTTAGTGTTGTAAGTTGTATCTGTGGTTATGTCATCTCCTCTTTGACTTGGGTAACAAGGTGTAGAGCTGGATGAACACAGCAGGCCAAGCTGCTTGTTATCTCAGATTTTCCAGCATCTGCAGTTCCTACTATCTCCTCTTTGACTTAGTTGTGTTCCCCTTTGTGAGGATAATGGACATTAGTCTGTCATAGTGGCATTACATCTGTGGGAGTATTTCACCTGTGTATTGTTCGAAATTTTTTTTCAAAGAGTCAAGTGATTGCATTGTTGCAAAGCTTGCTGTGGTATATTTTGGAATTCTATTATTTTCGTTCCTTTTTGAGAGGAGTATTAAGTTTTCAGTGATCGTTAGAGAGTTTTTTTTGTTCAATTCTATACAATAAACTTGCACCTCTAGAGATATCTCTGTGTAATTAACTGTTTGCTTTGCTTTTGCTTTCAAATTTTGATTTTTAACAATTGCTTAATAAGTACACACACGCATACATGCGCACACAGTTTATTTGTATTCTCAAAGTGTCTTCTCCCATGTTCAAACTATTGGTGCCTGAACTATTCATCTTCAAGGTTACTCACCTTGTCATCTCTCTTTAAAGACAATATCGCATGTAGCTAAACAGGATTTAATCGATTAAATTCATTGACTGGGTAGATATAAATGAGATATATATTGTGTGAAAGGAGCTGTAAGATTGAGTAGTTAATAAGTCTACCCCAATGGAAAGTGTCTTGGCTTCTGTCTCACCAATTGGCTTGGATCCAATTTGACATTCATTACCTAGTTGGCTGATACTTGACATATAGTAAGTCTTCTTTTCTACAAAGTACTTGCAAATACTGTAGTTTGAGTTTCACTCCAGGACTTATTGGCCACAGAGTATCAACCTGCAAACCCTTGCAACATGCCTTTAGTAGATGGTAAGAATGAGAGGGACTCCCAGTTAACCGTATTTGATGTAGAGTGGTTCTTCTCAAATGACAGCCACTGGCTTAATTGATGATCGGGGAAAAATAGGTGATAGACGACCGAGCATGAACCTTGTCTGCTGCATGTGTCTTCAGTCCAAGTCTAATCAGTTAAAACATTGAACCCCTTCAACTTCACAGCCACGCCACCTCCGTTTCTTTGCTCAGCCTCGCACCCAGTAGATAGATCCCTAATTTTTGAAGACTCCCAGGCAATCCTGAAAGATAAGCAGCAACAGTGTTCAAAACTTCACTCAAATGGATGTTGATCAGAGGCGACTCACCAGGATGTTCCTTGGGATGAAAAGTCTCCATTATGAGGTGAGACTGAATAGGCTGGGTTGGTTTTCCCTGGAATGGAGTAGGCTGATGGGGAGATCAGTTTGGAGCATACAGAGTTGTGGAGTGCATGGATAGGTTGGATCATGAAAATCTTTTATCTGTGGGCAGATCTGTCTAAGACCAGAGGGCCTGAGTTTAAGGTGAGATGTAAGTAGAGATCTAAGAATTTTTTTTCACCCAGTGAGGGTGGTACAAGTATGGAACCTGCTGCCTGAGAGGATGGGAGGGGTGGGGTTGCAGATAACCTCAACATTTAAAAAGCATCTGGGGCAAGCACTTAAAATGCCAGGGCATAGGCTATGGACCAAGTGCAGATAAATGGGATCAATGTAATTTGGTGTTTGTTGGTCAGCATAGACATGGTGGGCTAAAGAGCCTTTTTCTATGCTGTATGACTTGCTGATTTTAAATGGTTAGCTACCTTGTGGGAGGAGTCTCGGCATAGCCTCAGTGACGGGCAACCTCTGGGCTTTTCTCCCTACAGTAATCTGTTTGATCCCAATCTTTTGAAGTTACGATATGTACAAAACAATAATGACGTCAGATGCCAACAGTTGATTGCCAACCACCCTTCAATCCCACTTTTCCCATCTGTAAAAATCCTGGCCATTACTGGCCTAGGATGATTCTTTCTCTGCCTATCTCTATACTGTACTACTGTTGTATTTGTATGGCCATCAGTTGACAAAGGTATGATGGATCAAATGCTGTATCACGTCACCATTTTATGATTAAATAACTAGCCAGATTATATACATTTTAAACGCAAGATAAGCAGTAAGTAGGCTAAAATTCTAACAATGATTTGTGGGGCCCACATCACTGATATTGTGTACTGTTCATAATGAACCTAAATTCCTTCATACAGTATGAAAATAAATCATATTCCTTGGTCACTCACCTGTGTGCAATAATGAATAGTGTAGGTTTATTTTGTTTAACACGAGAAATACGTGGAAAGGTAATCTATTTCTTTAAATGTTAATAGTAACTATTATTTTCTTTATAAGCATCACAACTATTATTACATTATGTTTGGGTCAGCGCTATTCATTACAACAAGATTCTGAGCTGCTTTGTTACCATGGGAGCCTGTTTCTAAAAATTTATTTCTTTGAGTCATTGAGTAATGAGAATGGAGTCATGGTCAGATAAGTAGCTTGCTTTGTTTCTTACTGCAATAAAATTGCAATCAATGAATAACAATACAAACATATTGTGACATGAATTTAAAGATGATTCAACTGCCTGCATTCCAGTTGGCCAAATCGATGAAAGATCTTAACAATATGTAATATTATTTTTAAACCATTTTCTTTTAGTAAAATGGCTGGTTGCATATGCATTGAGAGAATCTCCGAAGAATCACAAAGCTACATTTTTAGCATACTGGTTTAGTTTGTTTTTGTGCTGAGCTCTTTTTTTTTTTTTTTTTAAATGCTCTCTCTGTACACTCTTTGTGCCTTTTCACTTCTGAATATCATTGAACACAATGTAATAAAATTATAATTTCTCTAAATGATACATTGTACATTTTACGATTGTAAATGCTCTTAACATTGATTGTTGAACGAAGAGTGCTTAGTGCTGTTAAATTTCCCTTCTCTCCAAGCCTAAAAGTAACATTCTCCAAGCTATGAGTAACATTCCAAATGTAACAGGTAATGCAGAGGTTATAGAACGGGAGGAGCCTAGAACAATCATTATCATCAGGGGGCGAAAATACTGGGCAAACGATTGGGATTGAAGGTAGATAGGACTGAGATTCTGGCCCATTTTCTAGACGGAAGCAGAAAGTAGGAAGCTATAGACTAATTAATTTAACATCCGTTGTTGGGAAATTGTGAGAATTCATTATTAAGGAAGTAATTACAGGACACTTGGAAAGTCAAAATGCAACCCACCTGAGTCAGCATTGTTTTATGAAGGGTAAATTGCATTTGACTAATTTGCTAGAGTTCTTCGAAGATGTAACAAGCAAAGTGGATAATGGGGATCCTGTAGATGCAGTATATCTGGACTTCCAGAAAGCATTTGATAAGGTGCCACACAAAAGGTTAATACATAAGGTGAAATCACATCGAGTTGGGGTCATTTTATTAGCTTTGATAGAGGATTGACTAACCAACAGAAAACAAGAGTTGGAATACAAGAGTTGATTTTCTGAAGAAAGGCCCCGACCTGAAACGTCAGCTTTCCTGTTCCTCTGATGCTGCCTGGCCTGCTGTGTTCCTCCAGCTCCACACTGTTATATTTGGAATAAGTAGGTCATTTATTGGTGGACAGATTGTAAATAGTAGAATGTCACAAGCTTTGGTCATTGGGCCCTAACTATTTGCAATCTGTTGAAGACTTGGATGCAGGGATAGAGGTATGATAGGCAAATTTGCAAGTTACTCTGAAATCAGTGGGACAGTAAGTAGAAATGAAGAAATAACAAATTTACAAATGGATATGGATATGT